TTCTTGTACACTTTAACTATTTTTTTATAGCTAAAAAGAACAGACCATCGACTCGGAGTCGGATCGAGTCAACAAATCGAAAACGCTATTAATCTAATTTCGTTGACGTGTCTATGGATTCGCCTTAAACGGCGGTCGCGCATCGCGGATGTGGACACTGGCTGTATCGCTCCTGGTGGGAACGGAAGCCTTAAGTAGAAGAAGAAGATTGCTACATGTGACTCGAAGAGTATAAACTATAAATAATAGTTAATGAAGAAATATAGTATTTAATTGTTACTTTAATAATAATCTTCGTTAAATCTATTGTTGTCTTATCAAATACAGTGACATGGATAAAGAGACTAATCATAAAAAGAATTTTAAGCGTAATAGAAATGAATATAAAAGGCATACACAGTCTAAAGTATTTTACAATCGAAAATTTACGACACCTTTGAGGAAGAAACGGAAAAATGAATATGATGCTAATGAAGAAGCTAGGTAAAACATATTAGAGTAAAACGAGCGCAATGATCTTTTAAATCCTTAAATGCTCCACAAATATATAATGTTGTTTAATTTGTAGGTTAGAAAAAATAGTTTTTGGTGAGCCAAGTGATATTATAGATAATTTATTAAATGATAAATCCGAGACGAAGATCAAAGATGACATCAAGGATGATGAGAGGAACAGTGACGATAACAAAGATGAATCAGATGAGGACATTTTAATTTTACATCATAGCGATACAAAATCGGAGGAAAAAAAACCAGCTTGGATAGATGAAGATGATTATAATTACACGTAAAAAGAAAATTATTTTTTATTACAATATTTTAATCGGTATTCACGACATTCACGTGTCTAGTGGATCTGGACATTTTTTCAACGCGCCAAATTTCCAGATAGCATTGTAAAAAATTGTTTATAACAAATTTTTTTCACAACTTTACATAATCTTATTTCTCGGATTTTGATCTTTAGAATGAAAGAAAAAAACTGTTTAATTACGTTGATTTTAAACAAAGATACATTAAATTTTAATTTTGTCAGGAATATATTAAACATACGAATACCAATCAAGAAAATTTTAGTAAATGCCGATTAGAATTAACAGTGTATATTCCTTCTTTATCATATGAATTTTTATATATTAAAACAGTGTAGATTCAGCTTTAAATGTACAAAATCGTAAATTGCCATGCGAGAGATCAGAGAAATTGTATACAACATATTTAGAGAACAGATACAAATTGTTTGTGGGTACTCCCGAATGGGCTAAACTTGAAAAAAAAGATGAAGTCGATGACTTGGATAGTGATGTCTTAAAGGTATTTTCTCTTTTTCAACATATTGGAATTTTTTTTCAGCTCAATGGATTGTATTTTAATATAATTTCTCACATTTAGCATAGTTGTCATTTGGAAGCATCAAAAGTAAAGAATTTGCCGAAAAATATTATTGATATCAAAGTGCTCAAGGCACTGAATAAAAGCACTCACACGGAAGGACCTATCATTACTAGTGTAGAATTTCATCAATCGTCCACTGTGGCTTTGGTTGCCGGTACATCAGGTGTCTTATCCCTATTTCAGGTATTTAAATAAAAATATGAATTACTTCAATATATTAACTCAATTAAATTAAGGAAATCTTTCTATCTAGACTTTTTTTAAATATTTAAATTCTTGAAAAGATAAACTATTAAACATAAACATTTGAGTTTTGTGTATATCTTTGTACATGTTTGACTTACATTCGTGAATTCTTGCAAATAACTAAATTCACTGTCTTCAATATTACAAATTTATTTTAGAAATAAACAAATATAAAGGAACAAACAAAAAAAATATGAATGTAAATAACATTTGTTAAATTAAAATTAACTATAAAAATAAAATTAATAAGTAATTAAAACAAGTTTCAACTTCATTTATTGTTAGTTTTCATTCCCCCGCCAATGATAAATTAAAACAAAGAACACATTGTAAGTCAGATGATTTTATCTAATTAAATAAAATAATCTATAAAACTATAAATTTTAATTAAATAAATTATAAAATAATAATGAGATTACAGGAGTTAAAATGAATATATATTAAATCATCAAATAAACACATTAACACATAGTGAAAGTCACAGAAATTAAATTATGTTTATTGATTGTGTTAGTTATTTTTGAAAATTAAAGAAAGGTTATGAATAAGTAACAATTATATTTGGTAATTTCTTTTTTGGTAGAGAAGTTTCATCAACGCAGCCAAAATAAAAAGATAATCATTATGTTCATATGTAAAATTATAAGAATACAATCAAACTGTGAAAAATAGCAAAAAAATGAAATGTTTAAAAGAATTACAATGAAGAAAATGTTAATCTATGATTTCATTATTATTTTCATTATTATTTATTGTATCTGAATACAAAAAATAAATTTAACAAAATGGTACTTTATAATGTAGTTTGAATATTAAAAAATTTTTATTGACTTCAATCAATTTGTGGTTCCTAGCAAGCAGTACATGTGCTGCGGATTTTGATCAATAGAATTTCGTAACAATATATTACCTGTTTTAGTTTTCATTTTGTAAGTCGATAATTTGTCTAATAAAACTTTCCAACTTGCTTTCCTCTAATATTCTTTTTCTTGATATTAGTTCTATGTAATCAACATATTCTTTTTTTATAACAAGAAAATACATAAGATAATTAAATATTTAGAGTTTATGGATTTTTACAAAATACGTTTTTTGTATCTTCTTCAAATTATGTAGTTCCATTATTTTTTGTCTCGATTTAATCGTTTAGAAATATATTTTCAAGATTTAAAACTTTATTTTGTTTTCAAGAAAATGCAAAAAAGCAATTTTTTTACTTTTTAAATAGAAATCCTTTCTTCAGTTAAATTAATTAAATTATTAGAATGTTCGCATTTTGTCGATTATTATATAAATTGTTTCCGTTTTATAGGTGGATGGTCATACAAATGACAAATTGCATAGCATGCAATTCAAAAAATATCCAATTAGCAAAGCGACATTCATGAAGGAGGGAACAGAAATTTTGCTTGGTTCTCAATACTATCCCTATTGTCATACTTATGATTTAATGAATGGCAAGACGTATAAATTACCTCTGCCACACAAGATTACAAACATGAAGGTTTTCGTGAAATTATAGCTGTCATGTCAGAAATAACTTTACAGAATGAAACTGTAATTTTGATATTTTCAGCGTTACGAAATATCTCCTGATGGCAAATTAATAGCATTGTGCGGAAGAGTGGGCGAAATATATTTATTACACAGCTGTACTAAAGAACTTATCAGTACGCTCAAGATGAATTCGAAATGTAGGGTATTAGCATTCACTCCAGACAGTAAAACACTTATCACACACGGCGGTAAGTGGACTTGTACATCTTCAGGGTGTTCAGCGATCCTTGAATATCCTTGAATTCCGGATTTTAATGTGTCCTGAAAAATTCCTTGAATTTTTGTCATTCTTTTATTCTAAAAAAATTGGATCGTAAAAAAGAAGGAAATAAGAAATATTTCTTGCGCGTGCAAGAATTTTGTCGATAACATCGATAATGTTTTTGGAAAAGTTTATGGTTGTATAAGCTCTCCCTTAAAGATGTAATAAAACAAGCAATTGATAAAGCAACAAATAATATTGTTCTAAATTTGTTTTAATTGATTCGTCATATAGAATCCTAATTTGAATACAAAACATATAATATTACGCAAATCAATAAAAACTAAGTAATGAAAATTAATCGAGGAAAAACCAGAACTTTTATCTGGAATGTCCTGGAATCATCCTTGAATTGGCTAGCCAAATATCGCTGAACACCATGACATCTTTTACTTCGATTTATGCCTTCCAAAGAGATTTTTGTCATTGAAAAAGATTGATAACATTAAATTCTTTTCTCATTCAAATCGCAGATGGTAGCGAAATGTACATATGGGATCTGAATACTCGCACGTGTATCAATCGTGCCATAGATGACGGAAGCTTATCTTGCGCTTCGCTCGCTGTGTCTCCGAGCGGCCAATTCGTGGCTACAGGCAGCGCGCAGGGTGTGGTTAATCTGTACGACATGAAAACTGTGTTGAAGGATCAAAGCCCCGTGCCACTAAAGATAGTGATGAATCTTGTGACTAGTGTTACGAGCCTAAAATTTAATCCGACCTCCGAGATACTGAGCGCGGCATCGGTTGACAAACACAATGCATTTAGAATGTTGCATCTACCATCTTTTACTGTGTTCTCGAATTTTCCGACACTTCAAACCAACATAGGTACACCGCAAACGATTAATTTTTCCCCGAACAGTGGTTATCTCAGCATCTCGAATAGGACGGGTTCCGCTTTGCTGTACAGATTGAGACATTATGGAAATTATTAATTATATTGATAAAAGAATTTTTCTAATGTTGTGTATACATTATAAAAATCTGTATGGAATATATAAAATCAGTGTAATTATCTTTCATAAATATATCTTGATTTATCCTACTTATATACTGCTCTACGTTTATTCGTACAATATTACACAGTATGCATAAAGCTATGTAACATTAGAAAGATATTAACACTACGTTATACATATGTTTGAATGAGAAATTATAAAATTTCTATATATTCAAAAAACAAAATTGTTCATATTTTTATTTATAGTATCACATATCAAGTTATATTGTTTTTTCATCGTGTAGTAGGAAAAATTAATCTTTATTCTGTCTTTATTAAAAGAAAAGTGCGTAACTTTTTTACATTAATTTTTTATGAAGAAACAATTATGATCGATGTTACATTAAATCTTGCATTTTGTTTTATCAAGATAAAGTTTTTTAACTTTCGAATATCGCCTGCCTCTAAGACAAATGGAATATGTTACAGTCAAAATTCATAATCGTTAAAACCCGATTTCACTAGTTAAAACTAGTTTTGAATTTAATTGAAATGAGATCTATAATTGTACTGTCTCACATAGGTTTTCGACTTTCCACACGTAGCGAGATCCAACTCTTTCTCCTCCTCCCCTCTGTTTAAGGAGCAAAACGAGGTCTCTATTATAATTGTAATAACCATAAGTTTTTGATTTTATCGATTTTACGGCTATTCAACTATTCTAATTTTAATTAGTAAATTATGGGGTTTTAACGGTAACATATATAAATAACATCTTACCATTATGAAAATATTGAAGTATAAAGTATTAAAGACCATAAACTAATTTTTCCCTTTTTTATTTAAACATTTTTCTTAATATGTGTGTAGTTCACAATTGATTACGGATTTTTGCACATTATATATATAATAAATATACAAACTTTTGTACGCATTGCAGTTGTATTACTGCATATCTAATTGTATAAATATTTTTGATATCTTTAATAAATATTTGTACTAAATATGAATAAAGAATATTACGTAGTTTTATAAAAAAATAGGTTTATATATTTTATATAATGTTAGAAAAGCAAAATGATATAATATGCAATGATTGCAGGATATATTCGAAAAAGGAAAAATAAAATTTCTAAATTAAAACTTGAATTTTTAAATTAAAATTTATCTTAAAGAATTTTGGAAATTGTCACCTTTGATCATTTGTCGCTTGCATGTTCATAAAGTAAGTTATCAGAAAGTAAGTTATCTACAACTGCGTATACATTTCATGGAAATAAGTAATATAGAACCGAATATTTAAAAAATAACACGCATACGTACATGCATACATATAATGTAGCTGTAATTCATAGTGCATACAAGATATACTATTTCGCGTTATTATATTACATTTCGATATATATATATATATATATATATTTTAAACATCAAATTGTTGCGAGCTTGCTTACTAAGCTGCAGATTGTCCTAATTTAATATAGTGATATATTACAAACGCGCATACACATTTAGTTCTCTAAATTTATAGTACAACCGAAAAAAAAAGAATTCTTCATGAAAAAGCAAGATAAAATAAATTTTTTCAATGCAAGATTTTATTTCCAAAAAAATTTTGAAAATTGGAAAGTCAATGTATTTATTCCTTTTTAAATTTAAATGACTTCTAATGACTTTGATTATCGAAATTGTCTCAACAGGAAAAAAGACTGACTGGCTAAATAAAATAATTATAACATTTTATCATTTTATTTAAAAAAAGTGATCTTAATGTGTGATGTTTTCCACATAAATTTCTTCTATCATTTCAATTATTTTAGTTTTATTGAATAGAACGTTAAATATTTATTTATATTAATAATCGTGATGAGATAATACGCACGATACCGTCGAAGATTATCATTGATCGCAGTTTCTCAATTTTTAACAATATATATCATATAAATTAGAATTTTATTAAAGTAGTTAAAGAATATAATTTTTATAATTTATCTGGTTTATAATTCGCGAAAAGATGTTCTTTCTCAATCGTTTATCACTTTTATTTTTAATCGAAAAAGATAAAAAAACCAGAATCTTTTTTATTAATTGCACATAAAGTAAGCAGAATAAGATATACATATGCAGAATCAATATACGATGTTAAGTGATATGTATAATCTAAAAATAATACATTATAGAATTCAAAAATATAAGAATTCTTACAACAGAGGCTTCATATTAACAATATTGCAAAATAGTGCTACTCACAAGACAATATACAATGATAGTGAAATAAATATTTATATCAAATTACAGGAAAAAGTAAACACAATTCTGAATCATTACAGTTGTAAGAATATAGATAATAAAATTATAAAAAAACAAACAAATGCATAAATAAAATAAGCTTTTAATGAAAGATGTTACACAGATATTAGATATTATCAGATAGTATATATACCGCGATGGATAGTATTTTAATAAAATTACGATTATAAGAGCTTGTTTTACTGTTACGAAGTCTGTCATCATTAGTTCTGGATTCATATTGTTCATTGTATTTTAACTCTGTATGTGCATGATATTTTAATCTGCTTGACATCAGGCAAGTAATAAACGAGATCTTGTTTTTGTTCTCAATTATTGCTCAAGAAGACCAAGACATTTAATTTATTCAAATGAATTGCCAATAAATATAATTAATGCAAATTAATATAATTTTGTAATAATATAAATTCGGCATTATACACTTGAACATGTTTATGCAAATCTCTGCAAAGGGTTTATTGCTTTCCCTTTGTTATCTCAGAGCCTGATAATCATTAATCATATATACATACATATTATACACACATACATACAAACATATGCACGTATGTATTTGCGCACACGCACGCGTATATACCGTATATGTATAATATACACAACTATTTGCCATATGTGTGTGTGTGTGTGTGTGTCGCGTGCGTGCGCGCGCGCACGCTTATACATATTTTGTTATTCTTGTATAATGTGAATGTGCTTTCAATCTATGTCTCTTCCTTGAATTTTAATGTTTCCACATCTTCAGATTCTTCGTTTTCTGTAGTCCTTTGGTGAATTGGCGTGAGAAACACTAGCTATTGGTCCGTCGCGGTCGCCGGTAGAGTGGTCGTGTCTCCGTTGCCGCTTTCTACTATGAGCATCACTGTCTCAGCCGCACCCCTCACACATTCCATCTGGTGGCTACCCCAGTCTTTACGCTGACAAAACGTGGAACAATACGGTGTGCGTCTGCATAGAGAGCATTCTGCAAATGCTTCTCGATTACAGTTGGCACACTGAAATATATTATATATATTGTTAACTTCATATTTATTGTATTGCATTGAAAATTTTTTTATAGATTTTTATTGTAGTTATACATTGTATTTATATTTATATTTATAGTTATATTTAATCATATCTATGCTGTAAAACAAATTCTGAGTAAACGCATAAAATATATAAATAGACTAATGATGCTGAGTTCCTGTTTGGATTGATCAGTTGAAAATAATTGACAACTTTTAACAATCAATGCAAATGTTCTTGTGTATATTATTACTAATTTTAAAATAACGATTAATTATGAATCTCTTGTTTGTTTTAAAGAGCAATTATTACTATATCAAGTATGAAGCTCATTTAATATATAACAATGTAGATAATGTATTCTATAAAGATATATAAAATTGTGATATTTAGAATTTACAAATTTCAATTACGATTTCTGATTGTAAAAAATACATTTGTAAATGCTACATTTAAAAATCGGAAGAACTAGATTTGTTAGCTGCGTATTAAGAATAATGTATTTAAATTTATTGTTAGAGAATGTAAAAAAAATATAGTAAATATAGTTCAATTAATTATAGCATGAAAGTATTTTTGATGTTTTCTGTATTAATTTTTAAAAGAAACTTTGTCGAAAATTCATATGCAGTATGCAAACTTAGCAGTATATAGAAACCATTACTGGTCTATATTCTTTTGAAATGTAAGAAAACGAAAACTAAAAGGAAAATTGCATATTGGCTCGTATTTTAGAATAAAATAGAAACTAGAGGAAATAAAAGCCAATAAAACGAGCAAATAAAAATGTTGCAATATAACTATATAATTTTATTTAATAACATTAGAGTGGAATGTTTCGACTTTATTAAATTCTCTCATTGATTAAAGAGAATCTCGGTGATGGATTCTACATATCTCTAGATTGTCGATCCATCGATAACTAAATGAAACTACCGTTAGAGATCCGTAAAGATCGTCAAAAGAAGAGGTAAATAATGAGTGCATCCAAGAGCGCAACCGCTCACTGAGCGCTCAGTGAGCGGTTGCGCTCCTAGATGCACGTTCTCCGACTAAGATTAATATAATTTTATTGTATTTTGAAATTTTGTACCTGCCATTGAAGATTAATAAAGTCAAAACGTTCCACCCTAATATTATCAAGTAAAATGATATAATTATAACATCTTTGTTTGATTCGTTTTATTGATCTTTATTTCCTCTAGTTTCTATTTTAAAATGAAAACTTTTCTTGATCTTGGAGCTCATTTACTTTTATATAATTAGTATATTGTAAATTTATTCAAATTAACAATAATACTTTGTATATTTAAAAATTTGTTGTATTTGATTTTGTTCATTTTTTTCAATTGTACATCTATAAATTATAACCATTTAATATAAAAGAATAATTGCACTTTTGACTAAAATCATAATTGTATATATGACCGTATCGTATCAAAATTTATTTGTTTGAATAAAAGATCCGATTAAGAATGCAATCATTTGTATACGTATAAACGATTTTCAAATATATTCAGAAATGCACAAATGGGATTATGTATGGGCCTGTTCTTTATTGCTGTATTAGGGTAGAATTCCATGAGGTGTATCACGTAACCAATCAGAAGCGATCTGCTATTTTTGTTTTGCATTTCTTGTCAAATACGTGTATATCTATTTCATTTTGAGTACAACGAGTGTACGTTAGTTTTAGCCACCGGCAAGGTATTAAAAAGACGCCCTGCCAAAGGCTTGCAAATTTTTGTGACTGTCAAGTGGGCCCGAAGATAATTGAAGAACGATGTCATTATCAATCATTTTGACTGTACAAACACGATCGTTTTATATGACCGAATCAATATTTTATTATCGGCAGTGAAAAATTTACATGTTATTTTTCAATTTTTGCAACGTTTGCTGTATGTATACACATATACGTACGTAGCAAACGTAGTTGTGAAAACTAAAAAATACGTATATCCATACAGCAAATGTTGCAAAAATTGGAAAATAATAGTGATTTAGCTGAACTGCAGTCAGTTCAGCTAAAAAGAACAGGCCTATGAATTAAAAAGTTTGTACTAAATATTTGCCCAATATTGTATATCTGCCGTTAATTTTTATCAAATGACAATAATTGATAAACAAGAAATTATTTATTGTCTATCAATAATAATTTCTAAATCTAAATATTTAATTGATATCAAATATATGTTATTTTTCATTATTTATATTTGACATTAATTTTTCAGATAAACTCTCGTAGATAGATAGTCTGTATAGAAATTCGTGAATATTAGTAGTTTGACTTGCCTAACTTTATCTATATTTACACTTTCAAAGTTTTCAAATTATTCAATCAAATTAAGAAAAAGTATTTATAATACCAAAAATAAAACATTAAAGATAGAACAAAAATATTTTATCTGCAAATTTATATTTTTTACCTTTTTATTATGTGAATCGGACGCCGGTTGCAATCCAACAGTTTCGATAACATCCGTCCGTCCTCCGAGTTGCGCGACCAACGCCTGCTCTCTTCTCTGTTGCCTGTTTAATTCCTTTGCTTCTTCCAAATTACGTCTAAATTCGTAAGCCAATTTCATTATTTTGTTTGACGTTTCATCCAGTTTCTTAAAAACGTCATCGCCTTGACCATTTTCTGTTTGATGCGCATTCTGCACAACTGCATCTTGTTCTGAGGATTGTTGCACAACTAGTCCATCCGCAGAAACGAACTGCGGCCAAATCTCTTTGTCAGGTACAACAACCTCGTCGCCGCTCTCATCGTTATTGCTGCCATCTCGCGAATTCTCGATCTTATGCTTGCGCGAAGGAGCCTCTCCATCAGGTGAGTCCTTGGGTCTTTTTCGACGTTTGTATGGTGTGAAGAGGCGAACTGGTCCCGTCTGAACAGATTAATATAATTGAAATTGAAAGGACATTAAGTTTTGGTTGTTTTTTTGGACTTCTTTTTTAATATCCTTTTTTTTAAACATGAGGTCTGTTTTTTGTGACTAAACTAACAAGAAGTACTGATATGTAAAATTATACATTATATTAAAGGGCTACTTAAGCGGAGTCAATGATATATCCCTTATCTTAGAGAAACATTGGAGAAATCATGATCAAAGACAATATCATTGATTAAAAGTTGTTAAGTAAGATGTCAAGTATAAGAAATTAAGTAATAAAGAATTTTGTTATTAATAAAATAAGTATAGCTATGGAGATTCTTGAGTGACAAGCAATGAAGAATCTCATATAAAATAATCGTTTGGTTTCAAACAACAAATATTATTATATCTATTCAGTTACATGTATTAAGTCTTTGTCGCATAATTCCTAATGTCTCAATGTCTTACTTAATTTTATATTAATAAATGTGATAATATCACTGTTTTTATTATGATTTCTTCCATGTTTCTGATGTTTCTCCAAGATAAGCAATACTCGACTCTGCTTAAGTAATCCTTCAACCTTCTAATCATGTTTTAATCTTTTGTCTCTTTTGGCCTGAGCATTTTTAAAAACTTCTTGTGATTACATTGATATTATAGCATTGCCAGCTTTATGTATGCATATACATATATAAAGTTTATATATGTGTATGGTATATGTACATGATATGAACACGATTAGAGAGTTAATGATGTACAATTTGCACATATTGGCATTTCCTCATTGGAAAACAGCTCAAATATCTTCCTTAATGTCCATTACCTCATATATCGAGCATATATCAATATTTTGGAAAGTATATAAAACAAATATCAGACCACAAATGATCTGCTTACCGCGCTGTCATCATCGCAACACGCCGCACAGGTGCAAGAAGTGGCATGAGGCTTCAAAATCTGTTCATCAATAAGAGTCTGTAGACTTCTTCCACCAAAACGAATACTTCGTTTCCAATCTTTGCTGGATGCTCTACCGCAGAAAGCCTCGAACTCGCTAGGTGTGTACCAGTCTGTGCCAAGTTTGATACACCGTCCTCTACCACCAGATCCGAATCTACTCTTGTGCAATTCTGCATTTGTGTTCTTACATCTGATAGGTAGCACTGCTAAATTTGCCGAATCCGACCAGCTGTATATAGGCTGAGAACTGGGCGTAGATACATGTATCTGCTCTGATTCCGTTTCATCGGTGCTGTTCTGAATCACTATGTGGGTCGCTTTCAGCTCACCATTCCAACGTAGAGGATCCGCGTCTTTGTCATGACGTGATTCGCAAATGAATGAGTTGTCGACGCATAGCATCTGCTTGAACGGCCCCGTACCAGGCAGCTACGAATGAAAAACATGGCTTTAAGTATACGCCAACTTTTGATTTGTAATATTAATTTGAAAAACCACTACCTAAATTACGTTTTGCAACAAATTATTAAAGTACAATTATTAAATCCAATTATTAAGTACTATATGATTGATAAAGATTTCATTTTTAGCTATACAAACTTAAGAAATTGGACATCTTAAGTACGTCAAAATACAAGAACAAAGTTCTTAGGCTACCTCTTCAATTGTTAGTTATTTACATTATGTAAGTATTACGACTGCTAGAACACTCTTGTGAGACAGAGATTATTTTTTCGTTCAATCTTAAAAAAATAACATAACAAAAATAAACAATACTGCCCAAGTGTATGATCTTATCTTGGCATATATAATTTACGTTGCAGAATGAGAATTAACATATTGAGGATGTAAACTTTTGTAAAAGGTTAAAGTTCTTGTGCTCAAAAGCTCGTCAACAAATTGAATCGTCGAACGCATATGCTTCTACCGCCTCCTCGCGCCGCTGCCGTCGTCACGCACGGCGTCGTAGCAGCAAGAAAAAAAACGCGTCTGTCGATGAAATCTCTCACGTCCCGGAATCGCGCGGGCGTCCGTGAAGTGTGTATGCACGATACTCGTGCTCCTACGGACGTACCTGCAGCTGATCCGAGGTGATGACGTTGAAGGTCGCGCCATTGGTGTTCGTTACGCCGATGATGGAGCCTACGGGAAGAGAGACCGGCACACCGACCCCAGGAACGCCCGACACACCCGGTACCGTAGTAACGCTCGCCGTGACCGCGACGGGATGTGCCTCGTGCTCGCTCGTCAGTGCAGCCGCCTCCTCGGTCTCGCTCGTCAACGGTTCGGACATGTCCGGTAGCACGGCGACACTTTCCGATGTTTGGCTCTCCTCCATTTCGGCTGTTCTCGCCTCGTCTCGCCTCGCCTCGTCGCGCCGCGCACTCGTCTCGGCGCCTCTTCGCCCGTCCTCGCCGCTGTCCGACGACGCCGCGATTCGCCATCAAGCACCCGAGCGCCGCCCGAGTGCGATTCGTTCGTGTTCGTTTGCGCATTGGTGTCGGCGGCGTCGGCGCACGCTCGACGTGACGCCGCCGCACAACTACGCTCATTACTGATTTCTCTACCTTTGTTTTGGCAACGATGGATCTTGAAGATATTATTTTTTTTTGCATCTGCGCACTATTTACCATATTATTTTACATATTACGCTGCGTTGTTTAAAAATAAATTTTCGACTGTTTTTGTATTTAAGATCAAGCAAATACTTGTATGATTAATTGTGAAATGTATCTACTTATTAAGATGTTTCAAATTAGCTATTAAGTGTCTTTAAGAAAGTTGCACAAATAAATCATAGAACTATAATATCAATTATTCTTTCTATGTTCTTTTCTCAGAATTGGATTACTATGTTGAAATTATTATTTTAAACAATAAAAAAGACAGGACAATAGGCCAAAGACGAGCATAAAACAAAGGGTGTCAATTAATAAAAATTAATAAAAATTCTTTAATAAATTATTTAAATAAAATTAAAATTAAAAAAAAAACGCGAGACTAGTTTCGGCTTAGCCTTAATTCTCAATCGCTATTATATGATATTACAAACTAAACCGAATCCACGCATATGGAAATTTAGACAAATGTCGAACAGATCTTATTGTCCTCTTCTTCCAGCCAAATGTAATTCCATATTAAATATTTGACATGTCGCTTCATTATACCAACAATGCTTCCCCAGCTGATTCTATGAGGATCGAACACAATTGATACGCGTTACATAAATTCACGATAACTGAGACTGCGACTTTTAACACTTACGGTAACGGTGTATAATATTAAGCTTCACACAAGATGTTATGTTTCCGAAGATCTATTGCGGACTAAAAGAAGAGCGTCAAACGTACTGATATTATAGGTCAAATCGATGGATTGTTTATACGATGTAAATGTCGTGGAGACAAACATTAAAATTCATTTACAATTCTGTCTAACAAGCTAAAATATGTTTCATCTAGCATCTCGGTATCTTTATTAGAATTAAGACCATTTTTTTGCGCTTTGATATAGATCATTTTGGAAACAAGACGTTTGTGATAATTAGGTTCCAAATCGAGAATTGTCGCATGTTCCCAATTCAACGTTTGTCTCGAATCTAATATGTGGTTCGTAATTACCGAGTGCTTCGAATATCGTATAACTTCGTATAATGTACTGAGTCGACAAGGCACACAGGGGATA